AACAAACCATGGAAGCGCGCAGGAAAGCATGTGCAATGCTGCAGCGCTATTGCGATGCGTGATTGCAGCTGGGGTTGTTGACCGCATTGTAACAACAGCTTCGAGAAAGGTAGTTCTTGGCCATAGGGCCATACGGTTAGTCTTAAAATGCACTGTATTGGCTGCACCAAAAGAAGACTTGAGCTACAGAAGCTACAGAAGAAGTAGATCATAGAAGAATGAGCTGAGAGAGGTGGTATCTCGGAGCAAGAGCGGATCAGAGAAGAAGTAATTAGCAAAGATAGGAGGCTCTGAGAAGAACTAGATGAAAGAAGAAGTACCTCAGAGAAGAAGTAGCTCAGCGACGAGGTGGCTCAGTGAAGCAGCTCCGTGAAGAGCTAGGTGAGAGACTTGGGGAACAGGCAGCTCATTCGTTCGTTCGTTCGATTGCTCATCCATTCAGTCAGTCAGTCAGTCACTCAGTCAGTCATTCATTCATGCACTCTCTCATTCATTCACTCAACATTCGTTCATTCATTTGTTCGTTGCTTCAGCCATGCTTCATTGATCCGTTGGTTCACTCAATCATTGGCGCACTCATTCAGTGTTTTGCTCAGTCATTGTGATTCACGCATTCATTGATTCATTAAGTCATTCAGTCATTAAGCCATTTGTTCGTTGATTTGCCCATTCATTGTTAGTTCATTCGTTCGTTTGTTCGTTCGTTCGCTCGCACATTCAATCATTCTTTCATTCCCTCAGTCACTCACGCACTCACTGGGTCATGCGTGCATTGATTCTGTCGCGTCAATAAGTTCATATCATCTCATTACATTGACATCTCAACATCCATTTGCTCATTCGTTGCTGCGCCTCACCACCTCAATCTTCCATTGCTTCTGTATCTCACAGACATTCTTATAGGACATTGATTTCTCATAGCGACAGTGTTCTCACTGGAAACTTCTGCCCCGGTGCGGTCAGGCAACAATAGCTTTAGGCAACAGCAATAGAACGGTTACCGCATCATGAGCCCCCAACTTTGCTGGCCCCACAATCATATGTCTTTGAAAACTGAACTTGTCATTTTGGGTGTTGCGGAATCGCATTGTTCCAACAGAAAATTCCATGAATTTGGATAAATATTCCATGTTTGAAGGACAATCTGGCGTCGGAAAATCGCCGAGAACTAGAAAACACGATCCATCCACATGAAAAAAATCAATTTGTGAAAAGATTTCTGACAAAAATGAATTTTATTGATGAAGCATGTTGTTCTTGCTGTTGACATCCATACTTTGGTTGGCTAAAAACACCATGTTTGAGATTTCTATCCCCATGTGTGGTGTTTAAAGTCACGTTTTATTTTGCCCTTTGTTTGATGATTGAGATCCGCATTATTGCATGATTCAATTTTCATGTTTGGATAAATCGCTATATTGCATTCGTGGGGTAAACCCTTGGGTTTGATGATACCAATTCACCCCCGGTGACATCGGCATTGTATCCATATTTCAGGTGGTTAAAATCCCATGAAGCCCTCCATCATTTCTTGTAATTCAAATCTCCTGTTGGATCAAATCTGCACTTTCTCTGGTTGAAATATCCATTTCTCATGATGATGATCTCTCGTTTTCTTATTCTCCTTTTTTGCTGCTCAAATACCTAACCGTTCAATTGAAATTCCCATGTTCCACCCCCGAATCTCGAAATTTCCTTGCCAACCCTTTCGAAGCTACAAGGAGCCGGATGTTCCTCCACCGGATGTGGAGGAGATGATTATTGCTGCTTTTTTAAACCCGAAATGCTACATGTTTTCGGTGGTTGAACCCCAGAATTTTGGCAGTTTTTAAACCCATTAGAATGCAAACTTAGGGTTCAACCCCATATTTTTGCGTGTTTGGGAAGCGAAATCCACATGTTAAATAAATTGCATACTCCAATGTCATCCAACATAGAAGAAAATGCCCTATTTGTATATAACTTATCGACTAAAAATGCAGATTATCCAGCCAGCCATGTTTGACCATGGTAGAACCAGTGGAAGATGGGAAGAACTCAATACCCGACCTTGCATTGTTGAAGTGGGGTCTTGGGGCCGACCGGCCATCGAACAGGAGAAGGTGCAACCGGAACCCAGCAGGCTGGGTGGCGCACTTCACAAGACCTGTGTCCCAAAAAAAGGGGATACCATGATATGCGCCAAAGGGGCAATCTATGATCTGAATCAACAAAACAGATGATCAACCGATTTTGGGCAACTCATTCCACAAGCACCAAGTGTTTCCTCAAATCGGCAACATGTGTTGCCATGTTTCTGTGATGTTTGCTTTCTGAGGGATCATGAGTTTCAGACAGCCCAGGGATCCTGTGAGTCCTGCGCCGGAGGCAGGGCCATGTGATGTTCACTGAATTCACATCATTGTTTGGTCCAATCTTGGCACCGAACATGGCAGGCGCAGGCGACACCACCAAAGACAGAGGCGGAAGGGAACCAGCGGACCAGATTCAGACACTAAGACATCTTAAGACCAGAACTTCCATGCTACTTGGGGTATACAGTTCGAATTCTAAGTGGATGTATAACCATAGGTTTTTGAGGCTCCATATAAAACTCATGGGGGTTATGACACCATGGTTGCACCATTGTTTTTCCCTAACTGCCTAACTGCATCCCCAATGAAGCCGTTTAAGCTGTGATTGCTTTGACCCATTGCTATCTGGTCATGCTTGAGGCGGCGAACGCTGTCAGGCTGGTTTCGGCATTGCCTCATTTCACTCCAGACAGTTCTGACACAGGATGCTTTCAAGGCAATTCCGTAGAAAGGCCCAATCCAAAACACACTTTGCCACCGGTATCCTTTGGTCAAATTTCCCATCTGTCCTTTTGGTAGAATTCCTCGGGGTTCCCAAGAGTTGGAGAAACAATGATATGCCATTTGGAAATGACCAATTTTGGATGATTCTTGCCATCCTTTTCGCCAGGTGGGAAGAACTTCTCAGTGACAAGAAGGAGCGATACTACCACGAGGTGCCATTGGAGTGGGCAAAACATAGTCAGAAAAAATATCGTAAGTGTGACTGTCCGAGAAGTGTGCCCCAAAAAGATTTAGAAGAAAATAAATCATCATCAAATTAGTAGAGTTACTTTTCAATGTTCTATCCCTTTGGGTATTAATGTGGCATTGGGGAAACTCAAAACTAAATGAACTCCAACAAAAATAGGGGCAAAATTCCAAGAAAGATGACGTGGGCTTGTTTGAAAATAGGATACTCCAAGATCCCGCTGTTTTTTTCATCATGTTGCATTCCAGAGTCCAATGGCGATTTTGGAATATGTTGGATACAACCGTAAATTGAAGCCCCACAAAAAGATGGGAAGTTGAACGAAAACGGCTAGTAGTTGTAGAAAAGATCTCAAATGTGCAATGTTCATCAATGTTCATTTTGCATCATGTTGTATCAAAAATGGTGATGAGAAAATAATGTTCTTCACCAAACAACAAGCGTCGCCACCTCAGGTGGCGACTGGCCGAACTCAGTGGGAACTTCCCAGCGAAGGTGCTGCAGCGCTATCCGATAGGGAATATGATGATTAGTTGGACTTAACCGAACAACAAAAAGGGATGTCATTGGGATATATAAACCAACTGAATATGATGGAAATAAGCAGATAGTTAGCCTCCGGTGTCATCAGTTTTCATGACTTCCTATTTGCGGAGGATTTCCAACTAGCCATGTTTGAGTATCGGAGGGTGACCGGAAACAGGATCTACATATCAGATAACTGGGCTTATCTCATTGACAAGCGGATGAAAACCACGTGAACCACCAGACCAACTGTGCAAGTTTCCCTGCATGATGATTGAACCACTTCAAGCTGGGCATGAGTCTTCTCGACTGCACAAGCCATGGCGCATGGGATTCAGAGAGATGATTCACGACTCACATCGTTCAATTTGGGTCTTTAGAGGTGAGCTTCTCTCAGAATAAGGTGGTGAAACGATAATAAACCACCCCATTTTTGATGGTCTATACCACCCATTTATGGAGATTTTGGGGGTGGTTTATGGAATTGTATTAACCACATTAGTGAAAAACAGGATGGAGTGCATCCACGATGTCTTGCCGTTTTGGGACGGCTAAAAAACTCCCATATTTCGCCCACAAAAGCAGGTTGGGTCGCACTTCTGGATGACGATGGTCCGGGAGCCTGGTGCTGATGATCAAAATTGGGATACCCTATTGACAATCCCAGGTCTTTTGTCCATGAGGGGAATCAACTCGGCTGAAAGATGTGTTGTTCTTTTCCTATCAATCGGCTGAAAGTCAGTTTCAAGAAGAAATGTGGATTTTTCCAAAAAACAAATATTTTCGGTTAGCTCAAGCCCAAGCCCGAAAATATCTGTTTTCCTTTCCCAGCTGGGTATCAGCTGAGGATCCAAATACTACTGGAACACGGAGATGGGCACCACGCAATGGGACCCACCTCTGTAACAAAGGCAGGAAAAAGGTGCTTCGAAGACTGGGAAATGTCTGAAACTGATGGGAAAGACCCTTTCTGAATCCATTGGTTCATCATGAGAAAAAGCTATGAAAAACTGTTGGCTAGGAGGTATACACCAGTTTCAGACAGAACCCAAATAGGCCTTTACTGGCTGGTTCAATGTGGATGAATCAAATATTGGAACTCACAGAAATCCGCCAGGGGATGAACTGTGCACTGTACAAGCAACTCATGTATCTTCGTTTCTGTTTTTTCATAGTGGAAATGCAGCATTTAAGATCAAAAGAAATCCGGTGATTTTTGGCAGTCTCAGCAGTTTTTTGGATGGCAGAGCGTTTCCCTCATGAACAGAGTGGCGTTTCCGACAAGAAGGAACACCAGGAAGAGGTATCACTATATGTCACAAAAGGAAGATGTATGCACGAAGGATTCTGATACTCTTATCCTCCCAAATCTCAATGATAAGTTAAGATCTCACTAAACTAATTAGTGGAAATTGTCCATTTGTTTATTTTTGGTGGTGTTATAAAGGAAAGCAAACACTCCACCAGCTGAACAACTTCGAGTCTTGCGCAGTGCCATGTGTTGTTGGGAGATCTTCGGCAGCAGATAGCCAATGCACGCTGCTGTAGAGCTGGATGGTTCGTCCCATTCAATGATTAATCATGATTTTCCCATATTTCCCCTATTAAAATGACATAAAATGACCATACGTATGGCTTAATCATGATTAATCATGATGTTCCCATCTTTTCCCTATGAGATATGCCACTGTTCTATGGATTAAATTCATCCCAAGCGCGGAAACTCATAGATGTTGGCCCATCCCCACTTTTCTTTCGGTGGGGAAAATCATGTCCAAACGACATCTGGCTGGTTTCAAATCTTTTTGATCCCAAAATGACCAGCAGATTTTTGAGTGTGAAATCATGGAAACCACCAGTCTTGATATCTCACGTAAGTTTATACTTCACCCATCATCCCATCAGTGATCATCCCACTAAGCATCCCACCTATCCCAATAGTATTCATAGTATTCATAGTATTCATAGTATTCATAGTATTCATACCTCACATCATTCATTTATCGATCGCGCAGAGGAACACCTGCGAATTCACCTGGGATGTGGTTTTGGTGGTCCTTGCCTTGGCTTCATCCATTGCCGGACTCATCTTTGGCGTTCAGGGCTACCTGGAGGACTGGGATGGAGCCGGAGCAATGGATTTTTGTGGATGTGCAAAGAGGAAAATGGTTTGGAAAAGTGTAGATGTATGAATTTATATGAATTTATGGATGATTTATCTAAGTCTTGTCTAGTTTTCTGGTGTGGATGGTTGTAACTGATGGAAGATGCTTTGGGGAAGTGCGAGTCTTGACTCCAAAAGCATGTTCAGAATCCCGCAACGATGCTTGTTTTCTCGCAGCACTTCAGGGTGACTTGGGCACCCCCTATTCACATTAAACAACCCCAGATGGCCCTGGCCCTAGATGGTCCCAAAGACCATATGTGTTCTTGAACCCCACAAAAAAAATTGTTTCCGGTGGATGTTTAAAGGCTTAAGGGGCTGGGAGTCCCATTCCTCCGTTGGAAGTTGCAGGGGAAGAGCTGTTGTGATGGTTGGGGAAGCTGGGGCGCCTCAGTCATTGGCCCTGAAAATGGCCCATGTTTAGTGGAAACGAATCCTCCAACCCCCCGACTCAATGCAGGGACTGTGTGAATTTGATAGAAAGTATAGCAGATATTTTTGACCTGGATTGTTGGGTACTTTTCGAAGATGTGAGCCTTTCTCAGAGATTACAAGGATATCACCAAGGCTGGTTGAAGTTCCCAGTGGGTAATCGACAGCAACTCCTCGGTTTTTGATCAGCCACATCGGGGAACATAGACACGCAAAGTTTTTCCAGAACGGGTTCCCAATGTTTGAAAGCATAGACATATCAAACCAATCATTCACGAGTTTCTGAAGGCAGATGGGATGACCAGCAATTAACACCATGTTTGACTTACTGGTGCTTAGTAGGGAATTTTCGGGAATGATCTCCATAATCACTATTAATAATAATCCCAGCAACCCCCAGCAACCCATCCATTCCCTCCAAACGATACCTGCAAGGTCATGCCGCGACGGTGCTGAGCAATGTGTTGGGGACCCTGGATGCCACCATTGGGGGGAACCATACCACCGATGAAAAAATTGGTGGTGACTATTGGATGGTAAAAATGATTAAAAATGACATTGTTTCACCCACATGAACTGCATTTTTGAACAAATCTTTTGGACTATGACAAAATCAGTACTGAAATTGTGTGAACAGAGTCTATGTTTATGTATCCTCTCCATGCTCTTTATCTTACGGTCAGACTTGAAATGTTTTTTCTATAGCATTTCTTTGCCAGGTTCCCTTTCGTGGTTTCTTTTGAGCTTCGGAAAATCGAATTGAAGCAATGGAGCCGTGCTGCCAAGGGAGGCCCTCGCAGCATTGCTTCTCTTTACGATCCCGTCATCATCTCAGATCTCCCCTGTTTGCCAGTGACATCCAGAATGTTTTGCTGGAAATATCAATCATTTTCTATTGAGATTATTGAGGTTCTATCCTTATATCCTCATCATTCTTACCAGATTGCTACGTGGATGGTGGTGGTATGACCATCTCCCTATGGATACGGGCCATGAGGGGTTGGTTTTGGTGCTAATCACAATTCACCTCATCCGGAGGCCGTACACGGCGCTTTGCAGCTGGGTGCTGATCCAGTCCTTCTTTCACATGGGGCAGTTTCAGATCACGCGCTTGGACAGTCACTTGGATGGTGGTCCCTTTTGAACATGAAAAAAATTGGAGATTCCATTGGTTAATTCATGGTAAAAGATCAGGGTGAAACTGAGGATGTTATCGCAGCGATCATGGAGTGACCATGAAGAATTGGAGCTTAACCAGCCACCACCAAGTAAAAATAGTTGGGGGTATATACTGTCCATGAATGATGGTATGGTATATTAAGTAGCCATGAAACCATTTTGCAGCTTCATGGCCGTTGTTTAGTGGTTTAATGTATCTGCCATACATGAATGGTTCTTCTCTCAACATGACAATCTTGGAGGGTGTGGCATTCCGGGAATCCAATCATCCCATCGTTGACGAACTCGCCGAGGTCTCACGACCTCAACTGGTTTGAGATGTCTTCAGCTGATATCGCAGCCACATGTCTTGATGGCGGCAAGTTCTGCTCGTTAAGGTCATTACCCATTGATTTTGTTCGATATGGTGATTAGATGCTTTTATTACTATTCATTGCAAGCTGTTACTTGAGTTAGCAAGTGGATGATTGTAAGTAGACACCCAATCCCCCCAGAAAAAACAGCTATGTATGGAATATCCCCAGTTAGATCAATGGGTGATTCAAGGGTTATGAAACACTTTTAGAAGCAGCCTCACCAGCCGCCCCCGTAAATTATGGTCAAGTAAGGGAGGCCAAAAGTCGGTGTGTTTCTGATTTGGAATTCTTGGGTGTGTCAAGACGAACTCCTGGATGTGCATGTTTTGTTGCATGTTGATGTCTGCACACTGGTGTCAAATGTTGAGGTTCTTCTCAGTCACTGGGATGGGCGACCAGATGTCGGATTGCTTTATTGGAGAATTCAAATTTAGCCGCGTGTTTCATTTTGAACAACAACGATGTTTGTCATGGACGCGCACAATCTCCGCTTAGTGCCGCGTTCTTTGCCACGCTGCTCACCTCACAACTCTTGCTCTGCTGGCTTGGTCTGAAGCCCAGAAGAACTGACTTGTCATTTTGGTCACGAGATGCAACCCCCAAAAAGATACAGAATTTGGGAAGAAATCAAATCTTAAGATAAATTATGATTTCCAAGATGTTCTGAATAGTTTATGAACACCAACCCTTAAAAATTTTAGAAAAGTCACATATCCTATCAATTGGTGGATCTTTTTGGTGGTTTCCCAATTTTTGTGGTGCCCGAGTTTGATGCCCGGCCCAGTTGGAACCTCGTTGCTGGGACACTTCTGCGGCAATCACCTCATGGTTTCGCCCGCGCAAGTGCTGGCGTGAATCTCAGGTTTCCAGCGATACACTGCGCAGACCAGCACGAAAGACTTAGATCATCAGATTTCAGTAGATTCTAAAGACAAAAGGTGTATTCAAGAGAAAAAACACAAGCCGAAGCTGGTGCGTTCAGCTGGGTGAGGTGGCAGGTATCTCGCATTCACCACAGGATGCACTGAAGGCTGGGAAATCCGCCAATACAAACCGGGGAATTTGGAGAGCAGAAGCTTCCCGGATATTTCACCAGAAATTGCTTTTGGAGATTAGATCCATCTATCCATGTTGGGTTTGGTTGATTTTTTCCCTCAGTGTTGGGGTACCACGCGTTTGTGGACAGACCCGTCCTGCGTTTTCCCGCGTTTTCCTGGATGTTCGCATGCCCAGAACTTTTTTGGTGAAGCTGAAGTGCCTTTTCTGATGCTCGGTATCAGGCGCCAAGGGATGGACATGCTTCAAGGCAATTTTGATGGTGTTGAATCCCGGCAACGTGGGACATGGGACATGGAGCAAAATCAAGCATTGTAGCATTGATGAAATGCGATCCAAAGATCCAGCAGAATCAGGTGATCTCTTCCTATCAACCTATCAGCTGTTTAATTCAAAAGTGCCGTTGTGACGTTGGGAACTCTCCAACTCGCGAGCTGACGCCTCAGGGACTCCTTGAAAGGGCTGAATCTCAACACCTACTGCCAGCAAGTTCCTGATGCGGACAAGTGCCCCATTGCTTCACATTCTTTTGGGTAATGTGATTGTGTGCTTCCCCTGGAAAGCCAGAACCACTTCATATGTCACAGTCCTTGCTCCAACTGAAGTTCAGGCATTTTACATCGCCGGGTTGAGGTACATCTTCAACATGTGGTTGGGATCCTTTTTGCTGATGATCAGCCAGTCGCTCATGGCCCAAGCCCTAGCTCTTCGCTTAAAAGCTGTTCGGTGAATCCTCCCAGGCATGTATCGGACAGTCTTCCGCCCAGTGCCAGAAAAGAATTTTGAATCCACACCTTCCACCAAAGGGTCGCTATCAGTGGTACTGCTGGATCGCAGGGTGGATTCTACCGATTGTCATGACTTCAATTGCAGGATGGTGTGGGATGTTGGCCTTTATCTCCCACGGAATATGTGTGAAGCCGAAGGAGTTTTAATATCACAGTGATATGCGCAGCTGTGCCCCAACTGATGGCCACATGACAAAAAAGAATGAGTGATTTTGGGTATGGCTCACATTTATGGCCTTGCAATGTTGATTGGTTACTGCAAGTGACCAATTTTCTGGATCGACTGACCGTTCTCAGCCATGTCGCTGCTTCGCGGCGCTCGCGAGGCCATTGCCCTACGCGGTGAAAAGCAACGCGTCAATGTCCACGAGGAAATGGGCGAGGCCCCGGGGTGAAAGTTCAGGCCTTGGATAGCAGCGATTGCAAACACATTTCGTGGGATAACTTTGTGGGGTTTATGCAGGACTAGAAACATTATAAACCAAAAATCGATCGGGATTCTTAGCAAAATCATAGGTATGTCCCTCCAAGGCCATGCTTTTGGGACCACAATTTTGACCCCACGTGGCGTTTCTGCTTTGTAACGTGTCAGGATTATGGGCCACTTGGATGCAACGGCATCGCAGGAGGGGGATGGCAAGTGTTTCACCACTTGCGCTATGGAAATCTCATAATGTCATATGATAACTATCAATGATAACCATGAAATCACCCATCAGGATCAGAATTTCTAGGTGAGTGCCTATGAAAACGTCCCAAAAGTCGACGGTGGTGCTCAGGTTGGCCGGCGAGGCCGTCACCGGACTTTTAAAGAATCCAGCAGCTGCCTGGAGCTCCAGGCTTTTGTGAATCCTTTTGGGTAAGGAGTATGCCACAAGGATTTCACATGATTTCACCATCGAACATGTTGCATACCAACTAGTTGGTGGTTTGGAACATGAATTTTATTTTTCCATATATTGGGAATTTCATCATCCCAACTGACGAACTCATTTTTTTCAGAGGGGTAGGTATACCACCAACCAGCCAAAAAGTTGCATGGAAGAAATTCTGTTTGAAAATTAGGGAGGCCCATCCAAACAGTGATGTCATTTATGGAGTCCCTCCATTGAACAGCCCAGGGTGAAGAGAAATCCGCGGTTTCATGGATCAAAGTTGAAGGCCCAAGATTAGGAACTCATTTTGCCCAACTTCTTTAGAGCCATCACGTAGGGGACCAGCTATCATTGTGAGACTGATTTGGGCGATTTTTGTCCACCACGCCATCAAGTTCAACAGCGTTTGTCCAAAAGTTGTACCCAAATCCAATGGTTTAAGTCGTGATTTTCCCCATTGCAACTGCCATAAAAGCTTGCTAAATCCCCCATTCTGGACAAACCCATCTTGATTCATTGCACTCCTACAATTCTACAGGTCATGGATCAATTTTTGACTCCCCATTGTATCGAATTTGGGCTGGAAAATCTATTGGTGGATGGTGAATTCCGATCGTACCCTAGGTCTCTGGTGTGGCTTCCTTGTTCGGCGGACCGATTGCTGGTGGTCTTGCAGGTGCTGTCAGTGGCCCCAGCATGGGGGAAAGCCCTAATATCTTATGGTCATCGAATCATCGCTATGAACTAACTATTGATTTCTTAGGCTAAAGGGATCTAAATGGATCTAAATGGATCTAAATGGCTTGCGGTCTGGTTTACTTATCAGCTTCGAGGTTTCATTGGCAGTTTTGGGTCCGCCGACCTGCAAACTGTGGGCATCAGGCCCAGTTAACACCTAAAAGTCATGCATTTTTTCATACAACGTACATACTTTCCACGCAATGGTTGCATTAAATCATCTCTCCTCACATAACCCACATATTTGAGTCACTTCGTGTGCACCGCTGGAACGACTCCATATTGCTAAGGCAGCCGAAGCTTATGATTCGCGGCAATCGGGCCAGGGATTTTGGCCAATGAGCCGGTCCTGATTTTGGTCACTTTCTGTCGCCAAAAAATCGAGAAAAATATGGAAGCGATGAGATTGGATTAAAGGGATAGAAACAATAATTTTAATGGGTTAGGATCATTCTTCGCATGAAACTATCCGATTCCTCTGGTTAGATCAGTCAGCACCTGGAATCCAGGGCCTTGCTCTGGGCGACATTTCAACCATGAAGGGGATCCAAACAACATGCGCGCAGCGGTCCAAAACTGGTGGTCAACAATTTTTGAGTTGAAAAAACACGAACTTTGGATTTCATGTGCGGTGTCTCCTCATTGTTGCCACGATGCTCGAGCGGCTGTGGACACTTTTTGGCCGCTGAAGCAACAGATCACCACCAGTGACTCGGATGTAAAATTTCAATCCACGGAAGCCTGGGTAACGGCTGAATCCCTGTTGATCTTGGGCACTGCAGTTCCAAGGTTGCCTCTCCGACACTTGCCCAACTCTAAGGAATGGGCTGCACTCAAAGCACCCTTGTAGAAGACTTCCAGAAGCCTGCGAAGAAGGACAGAAAGCTTATAAGCAAGTTGCATCAATTTGTTTTGCACTTGGAGAAATTTGGTTTGCTTATGCATGGGTCAAAACACATGGGGAAATTCGGTTTATTTTTCGATAGGTCAAAAATGAGGCATGTCACAATAATAAATGGGCTGGTTTACTACTACTAAGATGAGCTAAATTTGAGTTTTCACTCAAACATCATTTGTGCTTCGATCTTCCCAAACCATGTCCTTCCCATGCGGTTGCAGACAGCCCCAGGCGGGCCAACAGCCACCCAGCTGTGGGTTGGAATGCCAGTTCTGGATCAATAATCGCAGCTGGGACTTGAATGACATTTGGGTCTGAAAATCGTTGGAAAAACTATACCAACATCCCATTGTTGATCATCATGTTCTGGCTGGGTTCCATGGCAGACACACCCATGTTTGTTGCAGAGTTGCCTTACAAGCATTTTCCACCAGTTCCACAGCATCGTTGGAATCCGTGCCCAGTCAGCTGAGGATTGGAGAAGCAGTGCATTCCACCAAATCCGATGCGGCGGTACAATTCCTGGGACATTAACAACAGTGACATTCAAGGGATTTCCCGAAGGATGCCAAGACCTATCAGTGGGCCACTCGCCAAGGGTTTCTGAGGTTGCCCTAAGAGCAGAGGTTGAAGGTTCTTACAAGTTCCAGTTCCATTTGAATTTTCAGTGGAGATGTTTCAGATTGTTTCAGCATAGTTAGAGGGGCTCTATCCAAAGTTATGGTGGTTATAACCATGGCTATACCCATGAAAGCCACCCCGCATCCGCAAGTCATTCTGAGGCGCGTTGATCAAAAGTTGGCCAAGAAGATGTCCCATGAGTTGAGCCATGGCCTTAGTAGCATCGCATCATGGCATCATGAAATTGATGTTAATCACGGCATTTTAAGGGATGTGGCAAAGCTAATAATGATTGAATAAGGAACCTAGAATTTGGTGATGATTTTTGTAAACGGTTTATGCACGTCACAAATTGAGACATCTCCATGGTGAGGCTTCTTGGTGAAGGACCCCGCCGCCTTCCAGAGATGCGTCCTGCTCCGCCGCTTGCAACTGGACGAGGAGCTTCAGGAAGTCGAGTCCGGCCGCGTGCTGCAGCTTGGCATTGGCAGATCGTAAAAGGAGCCTATAAGGCTGGGTGCGAAATGAGAGGGCCGAGCACTTTTGGGATAGATTTGGCATCTCTTTGTCGGACTGCAAACCATTGTGAGTGCCACGCTAAGTAGAGCGACGGGAAGATGTGAGCAGCCGAAATGTCACAACTTAATTCTTGCCTTGGCATCGCAGCAGGGTGATCTTAAGGCGCCATGCAAATCTAGTAGTTTTCCAATCTTTCGGTCGAGCCCAAGTGGTGTTCAGCCCCGAGGCCAGAGGTAGTGACTCGACTGTGAGACCTAGACACAGAGTCCTGGACGGTTTCCAACATTGATATGTCATCATATTTCATCCTTGGCTGTGGGCAGTTGATTCCCAGACGTCGCATGGTTGGATCTCTGAACCACCAGGACAGCTGATTTCAGTGTTTTTTTCAGGCTCTAGCTGGGCACAGCTCGTAGGCTCCTGGCCTGCCCTCTCAGCGCCTGTCTGAAATGGCAACATTTTTTTCTTCTTGCGACACTGCAGTCCGGCGCAATATCCGCCTGACCACGCAGCATTCTTGAAAACACGGTAGAGTCCGTGCCACGATCTGTTGAGGCTTTTTGCACAGAGCGGTTTACCATTTATGTCCTGTCGTGAAAACGACTACATCCGCTGAGGATTCTTGAATCTTACCTATCTGCAGCTTCAGCTTGTAGCAATGCTTCATCCATTTCCGGCTTGTCACCCCCTTCGCAAAGGGCCAGCACCCGGACTGGGCAAGCTGATTTTGCTGCAAGCCCCTGGGGCCTCAATCTTCGCAATGCGTGTCATATGCTTTCATGCCAATAAAGCAACAGCAACTAGGCAGAGATCCTAGGGGTCATAGTACTTTTTGATTTTCTCAAAGCACCTTCCCTAAAGGGTTGTGCGTGACATCAATCGCAAGCGGTTTTATGTGAAAACAAAAATTTGGCTACGGTCAACACCTTCGCATTGCTGCATCTTCAAGCATACCGCTTGCAATCGTTTGCATGTCTCAGTAGTCGGCTTTTTTTGGCCCTTAGCGCAGCTTGATCTTCGTACAGCAGTAACACGTGGAGAACAAAAAGTTTTGCAGATGCTCTAAGTCAGCCGAATCATTTGCATCGAACAGATCAGATCTGTTGGGGCACACTTGTATATCCTGAAGTGGGGCATCATGTTTCGATGAAGAGTTTCTAGTATCAATGCTACAGATTTGTGATGACTCATGCTGATATCTTTCAAGTTTCAAGTTTCAAAAGATGGTGACACTCGCCATCACTTGGGTGGTCTCATAAGGAGCCATGAAGCTTTTATACACATGCAAGTGGTAGCAAATGAGCAATGAGCAAGTATGGGTTGCAAAGAAGTTCATTCCTTGTCTTCGCGGCTATTTGGTAAAAATTGAGGATTTCCATCTCGGAACCCTCAAACTGGGGCCCAGCGTCAAGTTATCAAATATATCGGTCAGCTGCTAGAAGATTCCTCTTCCGGAACGGAGGCCCTCCAGGCCGGAAGTGAAATGAATAGTGCGACAAAGTATTGGGAATTATTTTGTGTAATCTTTGCAGTACGGAGTAGCATTGGAAAATATTTTGTTAAAGGTTTGTAGTAGGCAGTAGTTCTGGAAGGTACTGGGTACAAGCTTTGTAGAAGGAAATAGAGCTGGGCAGAACTTTTGTGCATACTTTGCAGTAGGAAGTACTGTCGGCAACCACTTTGACCAATTTTTTCCAGCACGAAGTAATACAGACAATACATTGTGCAGCTTTGTAGTAGGGAGTACTGTTGGGAAATAATTTGCGCGAGCTTTTGGAATATAAAGATATATGAAGTAACTTGCGCAAGATTTATAGTACAAAATACGGTGGAAGCCCTAAGTTGTCTCAGATAGCACTTTGTTGTCTCATCCCAGTGTGCCATGCGGAAGAGGTGACATAACCACTGGAATGAATTACTACATGATTTGTCATCTGGTATGATCTTGGCAGCAGAATAGACCCGCAGGGATTCTTAATATTGCACACATTAATTATATCCATTTGCCCCCTAACAATCCCTGCAGCAACGTAAGTTTCCCATACAATTTGTCCATATTCGGGACTCTTCCTCCTCTTCCTTTTCCTCCTCCTCCTCTATATCATTATTCTTAATATTATCCTCTTCCTCCCCCTTGACATCATTATCCTTAACATCGTTAAAATACAATTCCGGTACTTCGGCTAAAAATTTTTCTAAAATTATAATTTGGATATTATTTCTATATTCCATATGTTTCGGATTCCGTTATAATAGGGCAGGGTGAGATTTTAATGAGATTAATTTTAATTTTTGTTTGTGAAAATTATTTATTTATTTGTAAATATGTTATTGGGGTTTT